TTCCTTGATGTCCATCGATGTCCTTCAACATCCCTCGTGGTCCCTTTGACGTCTCTTGTTGTTCCTCGATGTCAAACTGTAGATAAAGTCAGTGATCAAATATGAGATAATAATATCAATGAAGTAATACAAGATAATAATGTGAATAAAATAATAAATCACATGTTAACGTACCACATTTACACAGCAACGATTGAGATGTTTTTTCAAAGTGATTTCGGTATCCAATCAGCAATCTATACGTATGAAAACCAAAAACTTTAGGTTAGAACCAATAATATCAAAGTAATACATTATATAATCTCAAATTCTGCCTCAAAAACTATTGACATGTGATACTGATAAATCTAACTACGTAGTTAACCTATGTAAAGAACTGAACAAATAAAGTTCGTAAAGTAATTCAATATCATTGTGATACTACTTAAAAATGTATTAAATAATAATATATTAGTTAAGCGAACCTGATAATAGTCCGTAAAAGGTAGTACAATGACAATAAATTTTACGCACTATCGAAATTCACACCTGTCAAAAGAATCTTGACGCTACGATTTCCGCCATGATGGCATGTCCCACCCAACCGCTTTCCTATTGGCGTAAACGTCAGTAGAGGGCAGCCACTTACATTTTGTAGCTTACTTGCGGCGCGCAAAATTAAAATATTTTACGCGCGTCATTCAAAACTCAGTCAATCAACTTCGACAGTTTCAGGTGAAATATTTACAAGGAATTTACAGAGTTTTACTTTTCTATCAAATGCATCTGTGTATAAAAATGATCATATACATAGTTTAAAATGAATATATTCTACGTAAAAAAAATCTAAATATGGAATTACAAGTTATTATTAACTACAAGACTTTATACTCCTGTACCATTCTTGTGTTTATACGTTCATTTTTATACAAATTTATTTAAGAAATAAACTCATTACGAAATGTAACTTATTGCGAAAAAATAAATACTATATTTTTTAGAAAGTGAATTTTCAGAGTATATATACAATTTTCAGAGTATAAATACAAAAATCATCTAAAGTTTTGAACATTTACAGCGCAGTTGATTCTATTTACAAAATACAAATGACACGGCGAAATTAAAATTGAGTTGTAGAAGAGGAAATAAAGAAATCTGTGAAGAAAGGACAGTACAAAGTATAGGAGAATCAAATAATTATGTGAAATAACAAAATTTTATTTTCCCGCCAGAATTTTCAAACATCGTTCACGTGATTAAGTAGTTACAGACTCTAGCGGAATTTGATAAAATAACACACGTTCCTTGCGAGTAGTTTTTTCCGCAACTTGCCGGTGGAGTGTTCGTTTACTAGATTTTACATTGTTTCATAATTCAAATTAAAAATTTGATAAAATAACTTATTTCTGTGTAACAATTGTTTCTCTTCGAACAAAAATGTCTTTTAAACCTCCTTTTAAAGTTGGTAAGTTACAGTACCACTATGAATTTCAGAATCACATTAGTCAGACACGTGGCTATTATTTTGGAGTAAAGTAACCTCGTTGCGCGTTATTTAAAACACATGATTAAATAAACTGTTGGAATAGAATGTCGTAAAAGAAAAAATATGAATATTGAAATATGAATGCCTTTGGTAATTTTTAAATGATATGAAGTAACATATCATCAACGCGATTAACTGATTGAACGTTTGTGGAATTGTTTCAAAAGTAGCACGTTATAATTTATCAATTATATGTAATTGTTCTTTATTTCTAAATAAAGAGAATAGAACATATGTATTTACACAATTTTTCATTCAATTTAATAATGAAACATTTAAAGATATATTATAGAATGAAATTTCAAAAAAATGTTGATTCAATCATGTATCAATGAACAATACCAATTTCTAACAATTGTAGCTGACTTGTCATGTATCAATGAATAGTACCAATTTCTAACAATTGTAGCCGACTTGTCGCTGGCGGAATGGGGACGAAAGGAAATTAATTTGGCGGAGCATGAGATGCCTGGTCTCATGGCCATAAGAAAGAAATATGGCCCAGAAAAAGTTTTGAATGGTGCACGAATTGCTGGCTGCTTACACATGACAGTTCAGACTGCCGTTCTCATTGAAACTCTCGTTGAACTCGGGGCCGAGGTAAGTTAATCCTTTACTCTCAAAAATTATTTTGTATCATTTATCAGTAATTTATTTATAAATTAGTGAATGAGGTATCACTTCAAATAAAATAATACATCATTGGGGATAATCATCCTGTTCAAATGGTTTTCATCATGAAATTTTAATTATATTTTTCTACATGTGATGTCGTTTGAGGTAATCATCAACTAGATTATCATTGCAAATTTGCTAGTACAATATATAGAAGTTAATGACAACATACTTTTAATCTTAGGAAGAATCATCTTTACCGTTTGGTAAATTTTCGCAAGAAGCAACAAGAAGTCTAGTTCATGTGAATTATTCCAAATTATTCCAATGAGTGTCTCAATTGACTCACTATCCTCTGTCTCTGAAATTCTTTTATCGTTACTTCTTACATCGTTATAAATTTCACTCTAGATACCTATTTGGATATTATACCATTATATTATGTCATATCAACAACACCAAATATATCTACGTTTATTATAATTTGTTAATCAGCAATTATAAAAAAAATGAAAGTCTGAGCTGTTAGCTAGATAAGTACAATGTCTCCTTAGAAGGGACAATCGAGTTAATATCTTTTCACATTTTCGTGTTCGATGCTCGAAATTCGAAATCGGAGATTTAAAATACATTCAGTTATGAAAATCTATTGCGTGAGAAATATAATTATTACAAAATATTGTGAGGCATAAGAATAGAAAAAAAGAAACTGCATTTATACATGTGTAGATTTATTCCACGAATCGTGACCCTGCATATTTTACAACGTTCAACAATCGTATCAGACATCGGAAAATTTTTGAATCTTCAAAAATCAAGATCAGAAAAAGCGAGGCTGACGTCTGTTATCGTTATTATGAAACGTAATACACTTTTAAATTTATTTAAAGTTACAAAAAAAAAATACTATAAATCATAAACTTCTATGACGCAATGATAGCATCGTATCTAGCAATGTGATGTTATTCCTATGTAAGAAAATTTAGATCAACGATAAATAATCGATTTCTTATTATCACTATCGTGATTCATTCAAAATGTTATGGATCTGAATTTTAACATCCAAATTACTTCTAACTCAATCTTATTTGTCATTTAAAATAAATTTGACAAAAGAAGAATATGTTGATATATTCTCAATTTTGATTCGAAGTATAAATTGGATTTTAATGCTGTTTTCTATTGTATTATTTTAGAGCATTACATTTCCAGTACAAAACTTATAAGCAAAGAACAGAATACTACGCGATTCTTTTATGAATCTTGTTACACTTTTAACATCATATAAATAGACGTAATCGAACACTTCAATAATAGATATCATTCAGATCGCACGATCTTATACAGAGTGTAAGAGCTAGCTAAATGAGATTATCCAAATATTTATTTTATTTATTGTTATATGAAAAAAATTCTCAGAACAAAGTTGCACTATTTGGAAGGATATATTAAAAGTGGAAATAAATTTTTCTCAAAATCATTTTTATCAAGATTTTATCAGTAATTTTTTTATGAAACCATATATATATATATATATTTTTTTTAATATCAAAATTTTTTTTACAGAGCATAAAAAGATAAATTCAACGATCCTAATGACTATTATTATTATTATTCAAATTATTTAATCTCAGATTAATTCAGCTGAGACACCCTGTATGTACAGCACCGACTAATGTCACAATACTTAGAGCTATACATTGCAATCTCCGATATAATAAAATTATTTGCATATAAAAAAATCTGAAACATTTCAACAAATTGGTGAACAAAAAATATCAAAATATTGCAAAAAAAATTAATGTTATATGAAATAATAAAAAATTCAGAAAGCAGAATTATGTCAATCACTTATATTATATTATTATATGCATTATACTTATATATATATTGACTTTAAATAAAAAACTTTTTTCATACAGTTTCATCATATCTTGTTCTATATTATAGAGATGTATAGAGGTGAAACATATGTATTTTCTTTGTGTTTGGTTTCATTGTCGATTTTACTCCAAAAATCAACAAAAATATTAATGACTCGTTATCGTTTCATTATCGATAGGTTCAATGGTCCTCGTGTAATATATTCAGCACGCAAGATCATGCAGCAGCAGCTATTGCAAAAACGGGGGTTCCCGTGTACGCTTGGAAGGGCGAAACCGACGAAGAATATCTCTGGTGTATAGAGCAGACTCTCGTATTTAAAGATGGGAAACCATTGAATATGATTCTTGACGATGGTGGCGATTTGACCAACTTAGTACACACCAAATTTCCGGAATATTTGAAGGAATGCCGAGGTCTTTCCGAGGAGACAACAACCGGAGTTCACAATCTATATCGCATGATGAAAGAAGGCACTTTGAAAGTTCCTGCTATAAATGTAAACGACTCAGTAACGAAGGTTCGTTGCACCATATTCGAAAAATAGAAAGAGTATTTTGACCTGGAAAAAAAAAAAAGAAATTGTTAGATTGTTGCAGAACTTATTACAAGTCTTGTCGAGAGATTTAAATATGATAAAATGACAAACTCAAAGAATTAAATCTTTTTTGTTTTTTAATTGAGGCAAGAAGAAAATATAATAAGTATATTTTGTTGGTTTTCTACTTTTCTGATTGCTGCAGAGGAAAAATGCTCTCTGCAATCTTATAAATTATTTTATGTCTCGTCTATTTATTTTGACTTTCTGATATCAAATAATTAAATTGCGAAATAATTTTCTATTGTCGAATAGAGTAAGTTCGACAATCTTTATGGATGTAGAGAATCGTTAATCGATGGTATCAAACGAGCGACGGATATCATGATTGCTGGAAAAGTTTGCGTGGTCGCTGGATACGGAGATGTTGGCAAAGGTTGTGCTCAAAGTCTCAGGGCACTTGGTGGACGTGTGATAATCACAGAAATTGATCCTATTAACGCGTTACAAGCTGCCATGGAAGGATACGAGGTGATTTAAATCAAAGATTATATACATGAAGTGTATTTAGGTGATTAAAAATTGCAATAGAAGTAAATTGGGCTTGACAAATTTTCAAATGTATTCTTTAGGTAACAACGATGGAAGAAGCGTCAATCAAAGGACAAATTTATGTTACCACTACCGGTTGTAAAGACATCATAGTGGGTGACCATTTTATAAATATGCCGGAAGATGCTATAGTTTGCAACATTGGTCATTTCGACTGCGAAATTGACGTTGCATGGCTTGAGAAAAACACTGTTGAAAAAGTGAACATTAAACCACAAGTAGACCGATATCAATTGAAAAACGGCAGGTGTGAATTAATAACTTTTATATGTGTGAATATCATATACTAATGAAAAATATTCCTATATTAACAAGTTAAACGTTAAATTATGTAAAATTATTTAAGGAAAACGTTAAAGACATACTCGCTTTTCATTCAGCTTACACTGTACACTGCAAACTCAGATTCTTGATCGGTTTTATGAGATTTTCGGTTCATATTCTCCATTTTCAGGCACATTATTCTTCTCGCAGAAGGTCGATTGGTTAATCTTGGATGCGCCACAGGACATTCCAGTTTTGTAATGAGCAACTCGTTCACAAATCAAGTATTAGCGCAAATAGAATTGTGGACCAAACCTGGGTTTTATCCAATCGGAGTTCATATGTTGCCGAAGAAGTTGGATGAAGAAGTCGCTGCGTTGCATTTAAGTCATCTTGGTGTAAAATTGACGAAATTAACAGAGGAACAAGCGAAATATCTTGATGTACCTAGAGAAGGACCTTATAAAGCTGATTATTACCGATACTAGTTATTACTTAAATTCAGAAACTTTTATGTACTTCTTTTTCTATGACGAATATAATAAAAGCATCACAGCAACCGTGTTTTGGTTTAAATCGTCAACTATTGATCTTCATAGTTATACATTTATTGATTTTAATCTCAATTTTCTAATGTTTTTATTTAAATAAGTTGTATCGAAACATTACGGAAGAGACTGTATATTATTGTAATTTATAAAATTGTTAAAAATAATTGTTGTTTCTAAATAAAACTATCTTGTATGATAAGTTTTGTATAATTTGTATAAAATGGCAGAGAAAAAAATTTCTCCACTTCCGCTAGAAGTTAGTCCTTTAATAAAGGTAATGATTTGAAGTAAAGATTACAACGTTTTATATTTTATGGCATAATTTACACCATTAGTTAGTGAGATGGTCCTGCTTAATTTCTGGAGTGATTTATGATTTCATTAAACGAAGAAAATATGCCACAATGGAAGAAGTGTTACGAGAAAAAGAAGAGGCAGAGAGATCTGCTAAAGAAGCATTTCTTGCTCGTGAAAAAATTCATCTCAATGCTGGTATATTTTAATATATAATATAAATGTATAATATACATATATTTTGCAAATGTTCATTTTTTTTTGTAGTTGAGATGAAAGAATTGGAAGAAATATTTCTTGGAACAACTTCATCTCAAAAAGAAATGAATTCAATGAACGATAATAATAGAGAAGCGTAAAAATTGTAAAAGTTTTTAAAGAAAAACATATTTATTATCTTCTCGTAACATTCTTTACATGTCTTCATATGTACAACTTTCTTTTATCTTTTATTTACAACTTTAAGAGGGCAGAACTTTCCTGTAGACAATAACATCCACAACCTGTAGGGCATAATGTTTTATTAGTAAACCACGTCGCTAAATGTTGCGTGTGTCCTCCATGCCCACAAAATATACAAAAATTGCTTGGACCTACATGTAAAAAAAAAGATAATTATAAATTATTGTATTATTAATTTAATAATTGTACTGCATTAAATTTACCTCTGACAGAGATATGACAAATTACACATTCCAATGCTAATCGTTTACAACTTATACATTGAGGTCCTCTACTAACTTTACCACATAATTGACATTCGCTTTGAAATTCGACGCCTTTGTGTGTGTCTAATGGAGTTGTGCTTACGTGCTTTAATACTTGTGCACGTGCATCTAATAATCGCCACCTATGTAGCACTTCGGCATACGCTTTTTTATAACCATCGTAGAGAGTAGTATATTTTTCATCCAGTAACCTGCATGACCAATGTTTGTACAACAAAATTAAAAATAATTTTAATTAAAATTCTTTCAATTATGTACCTAATATTTTTTATGGAATCTCCTGACGTATCTTGAGTTAATTTTAAATCGTCGAGCGAATCAGACCACGAGTTGGATCGATGTTGCTTCAAATTTTGGAAGTTCCATCCTTCTAATGTGGTATCAGCTAAATGAATCGTGTGGTATGGAGAACCACCAGGCTAAAATGATGTATCAAATAATGTATAAAATTACAAACCTATTCATAAACCTTACATAAACAATATGAAAGCACAATATACACAAATAAGATATAAAAGGCATAATGTGTATGAGCATTTTCTGCACAAGGATGTTTGTCTTCTGTATGAAATTTCGAGGCATTATGATAACAAAACAGTACATCACATATGATTAATTACTACTAACATGTACGATTATTTTATGAGTATTAATCATAATGTAAAACAGTTATTAGGTGCAAGATCGAAAAGTTTGGCATTTGAAATATTAAGCAGGGCCAAACCTGCATGCTTTGTGGGACCATCACACTTCCACTCCGATGCTGTAAGGCAGTAACAAATATCACCATAAGAGAATCCTAAGAACATTTCAAACACGTACGAACTTAAAAAATTCAAAAACCATGCCTTACCTTTAACCACCATTTTCCTGTAGAAAGCCTCTATAACAGAGATAACATAATATCAATCATTCGGTAATTTTTAAAAAAAATGTATATATATTAGAAAAGAAAAATATTGAAATAAAATACCAATGGCTTGCGTCAATATACTATGATCTATTTAAATTCTAAATTACATAATTTTGGACATATAGTTATAATACATATGCGTGATATGCGATCGTATGATAAAATATTTATATTCAATCATGCATCAGAAAAAAGAAATGTGTGCCAAGTATAATACATGTGATATACTGTAGTTTAAGAACATTGAAACATGAATAGTGATACAATAGATGATTATGTTCAAAAAATATCAAGTATTGATATGTTCAGCATGTTTCTGAACAGAAGACAAAATATATGATCAAGACATGTAATGTATTAACTAATAGTGCTTGTGCCAGACCATGCTAGAACATCTTAATATTTACAAAATAAATATAACATACTTACACTAACATTAATGGACTTGTTATTTAGTCGTGTTTGCGCAACGTCAGGATTTTCAGAACGATAACTAAATGCACAACTCAGCATACCTGCCATTTGAATATCTGACTGGTTAGCATAATGCTGTATTCTAAAAAAAAAAAAATTATTTTATAATAATTTGTTTTTATTGTAAGTAATATATATATTCTTGTTACTTACAAGGAATGAATTAAGTTTTGACCGAAAGGATGTAAAGGCCACGGGGCATCAATCTCAGGTGATTGACAATTTTGTCCAATATTTGAAACTGGTTGTGATATCACAAGAGCGGCTAAACACCACGCCTGAACTAAATCAGGACGTTCTAATGATGCAGCTACATTTGCATTGTATTGACACATTGCCGGAATGTCGGTGATGTTGATACTGATAGATGTAAAATAAAAAAAGTTATTTTCTGAAAATCGACTAAAAATCCCTGAAAATTGTATCACACATATTTTTGTACTCACACATATTTTTCTGCAAGTTCTTTGTTGACGAAAAACAATGAAGAGGCATCGTATATCATTACCATAAAGTGATAGTTTTTACAACATGATCTATGGGTCATTCTATTTGTATTATGTAATCCACGATTTATTTTCTATTAATTTGAAAAGAATATTTAATGACTACTTTATATTATTTTTTTTTTTCATAAAGAATGTACATACTCGATCTTGAAAATAAAAGGAACTTATAGGAATGTTGTCATTCGATCGAACATAAGAATTTGGATACATATGCATAAAATGTTCTCCGTTGCCTATTCCGTTTCCTAATGCAGAAAGTGCTCTGGGTGTTGTACATTCTGGTTTCATAGACGATCTTCTCGTATATGAAGCACGACCAAAACATACGAGTATACCTATTGAAACAATGAATTAAGCCTCTATTGTACACTATGTTGTTTTTACTACTTTTTTTAGTATTTTTTGCTACTTTTTTTATACGTACCTACGCAACAAAATTTAGCACCAGATGTTCTAGGAAACGGTATGTAAGCATCTTGATAATTTGTATACATATTAGAGGAACTTAAGAAATTCGCATTGTCTTGAATATCGTATCCTAAATGATTACTTTCATTTTCGTCATTTTTACATGTCTGCAGAGAAAAAATATCAAACATTATAGATTATAGAAGACGTATATGTAATCTGAAAAATATTTTTTTTTACTTGTTCCAATGTTGTAATCAATTGTCTAAGACACGGTTCTAAACACGATCTGTTCTTTTTAACACGTTGTTGAGCAGTTTGTTTTAAAACTTTTAACAGCTTTGCTAATGTTGCACTGTCGATTGTTGTTCCAGGACAGAACTGGAATGTAGGTTGTGCACTGTAAGGATAGTTTGCAGGGAAATTTACTTTTAATATCACATTATAACTTTTATTGGATGCTGTTACGGTACAACTGCGTTCTACAGCATCCATTGCGTTGACCTGTAAAGATAAAAATAAGTATGTATCTACATATCTTCTGTTTATATATGTTATGTAATACATGTGTATTACCTCTATATTTGGTATATTCATATTTATTAAAGAAAATTCTTGCTGTAAAGTCTTTGGTTGTGTAGGAGACGATATTTCTTTATTACTTTCGATATATGCATCTGTTTCAGAATTTAATATAGGTTCATCTACTTTTGTTGTTAAACAATTCATTTCACGATCAGTTTGAGTATCACTAAGTTGTAACTGTTGGACGGATTGTAATGTTCCTATAATGGCAATTATGTTAGTTGAATAAAAAAAAAAAGACACATTATACTTGTGAACAAGACAAAAACATACTTAAATTATTATCTTCAGAATACTGAGTATAGATAGATGAACTATCATCTATGCCATGTCCACATAACTAAAACAAGATGTTAAATTTTTACATGTTAAATTTTTTTATAAATCTTAATCTTTACGTATTTAGAAATACTTACTTTCTTTAAAAATGGATCAATTTTGTATATTCTTAAACATTGATCCTTTGACCAAGTAATTAATTCAAAGTCACTATTTTCTGCAAATCATAGATACTATATTTCGTAATATTTTATTTTTTCATTTGAAAATTTATTTATATAGTACATACCTAATTTTTGGTGTCTCCACTGAAATTCAAGAACAACATCAGTATGTCCTACAAAAGTATAGATAGGAGCACTGAGGTTTGTTGTGTTCCATAATAATAAACTATTTTCTCCTCGTCGTAATTGCGGTACTACTATTGTTACTAATCCTTCTCCAAATGGCTGTGGATACAACTTAATTTTAATAAGGAGAAAAAAATTTTAATTTTCTTTAAATACAATGTTACTTTTACCGTATATCTCGCCCTCCATACTGGTGAGTTCGTTGTTAAAATGCTTTCAGCTCTTCGTGGATTACTGATATCAAAGATTTTCACTGTACAATCTTGACTAGATGTTGCCAATTGATTTTGTTGAAACGGACACCAATCTAAACCATGTATCTAAAATAACTTTAATGTTTATAAATATCTCATAGAACTTTACTAAAGTAATATTATTAAACATTATTGAAGCGAGCTGTTGTGAAATTAAACTTTACTTTTGTTAGATGAGCAGCTATATACTGCATAGGACTGTTTCCTTTTCTTTGATCCCATATTTTAATATCTCCATCATGAGCTGTAGCCAACATGTTGGGAGAAAGAGTATTCCATCTTACTTGAGAAGAACCAGCTATAACACATTCAATTGCGTTCATCTTTAAATGCTTGCAAACTATTTTATTTTGCAAAATTTCGTAATCAGTGTATTTACCAACTGCAGACAAAGATAGACATGGCCTTCTTTGATCTCTTATGTCCCATATATGTATAAATGTATCAATACTGCAAGAAGCAATGATGTCAGGTTCTTTGGGATGCCAGTTTAAATCACTGACAACTCTTGTATGCGCTTTCAGGCTATTTGTTGTTTGTAAATCGTAATTACCATTCCCAGTGAGAGACAATATTTCAATGCGTGTATTGCTCTAAAATTTAAATCCAATGAAATATATTTACAACATTATCCGCAACGTACAGATTAATTGCTAACCGATACGGCGCAAAGATGACAATTTATACTTGTGGGGTTCCATTCTGCAGAGCCAACTTCATATTTACTTTGTCTTTGAAATTTTTTTAATATGTCGACACTGTCGTCGAGTTGTTTCACCGCAAAGCATCTGCGACTAGAAACAAAAAAAAAAAAAAAAATACAAAATTGAAAAACATGAAGAAAACTGTGAAATTATATATCACATTATGAATTATAATCATATATAAAGTTCATTTCTTGCTTACTTACCCGGCAAGTAATACATAATTACCCGTCGCATCCACGGCCATGGTATTAGCCTGTATATAAAACAAAAATAATTCAATAATAAATTATAACGTTCGAACTTGAAATCTCACATTATTCATAATAATAATACATAGCACGTAATATCGTGTGATGAAACAAGCTACCTGTAAATCACGGTGTTCCGTAACGACATAGTCGCTACCCCAACGTTTTGACATTTTACCAATGAATTCGAATTCCTGTCACCATTCTGCAAGGTTAGAGTCGAAACCGAACGTTACGCGGACCCGCGGACCAGAATTGAATCGTGTACGTAATCGTGCACACAATCAAAGCCAGTACGCGACTCGTTGCATTGCGTTCTAACATACACATTCTTATCGGTGGATTTCGATTGGCTGAACAAAATTCATGTACACATCCCCACTAAAAAAACATATGTGGGCAAGGGGTAGAGCGAGGAACAGCGGTGTAAAAAGAGCAAATGAGACGGAAACAGAGTCAGAGAGAGAGAGGAAAGTTCAAGACGCTTCGCTGTGCTATTTCTGTCACGTAGGACGCATATACTCGTTGCATAGGTGTACTAATATCGAGACGCAAATTGGTAAACGGTGCGAAACAGTGGAGAAGGGTTGAAGTTTGTCGATCTTTAATCGTCGAAGTTGGATCAATTCTACAGTGATATTATTTCATAGTGGCCGTGATAATTCAAGTGATAGTGACAACAATGTCTGTAATTATGGATTGTTTTCGTCAGTAGCGAATGTGCAAAAGTTCTTAGTCACTTTGTTTAGCTGACCTCTAATAAACGGATCTGATTGATTGCTTTCCCGTAACTCTTGTGGCGATTTTTCGTTCAGCGCGAGTTTTTCGATCTGAAAACAAGAGAAGAGAAGAAAAGAGAAGAAAAAAAAGAGGAACGCGGCGCCTTTTGTTTCTCAAGGGTAGTCTCGCTTGTCCTTTTATATTGCTTTCCTTCTCTTTAGCTTGTGCACGTCATTCGCGCCAGCGACAAGAAGGCAGCGCTTCAAGTTCAATCTGAGAACCGATTGCTGAAATCGGACTCTTACATTTTTACGGACGGTAAATTCATCTCGATATTTTTAACTAGAGATCTGTGATGTACAAGTTCGGCGCCGCGAAGAAAATCATTACGTCCACGATTAATTTCGTACACTCAAAAAGGAAAGGAATTTTTATATACATAAGAAAAATGCACAAAGACTCAATAAGTCTTCGATGTTCGAGAAACTTTTTAAATTTTCGATTATATTGAACACCTTGGCCGTTTGACTGAGAAACGAGGTCAAGTTTAGTCGAAAAGACACATAAAAGGTCATCAACTCCTATGTAATGGAGTATTAATGACAAGAGTGTTCCACTGGGAGATGCACCAAGGATATCCAATACGGAGACGTTGTTACACTAAATAAAGAGAAACTGCTGCTTGCTGACAAGATGAAATTGCTCGAGAGTACACGTTTCGAAGCTATAAACAGTGCCTTGTCCATCAAGACTGGAGACAGCAAAATAATAGGCAGGTAAGACGTTCGGAATGATATTTATTGGATCCATATTATCCTCTAGAATAATCTCAAACATTATTTGTTCCTTGATCTGCAGAATAGAGAGCTACTCTTGCAAAATGGCTGGAAATGATAAACAATTGTACAAACGTTTCAATGCAGAACAAGGTTTTACTCCGCATGATCTTCAAGCTTTATCACCACCACAAACATCTTTAGGAACATCGCCTGCTCAAGGGTATTTTAGGTATTAAGAGTTATGAATGACACATATAATAAAACAATAAATCTAAAAATATCAATATTATCCTCTTAAAATAATAATACGAATATTATCCTCTTTAAATAGTAAACAAAGTAAAAGTTATAATACCTTGTAAAAGAATATCCATGTTTACTGTTTGATAGTATCTACTTGTATAATAAGTTAATAAGTTTCCATATTTTTGTTTCAGCCGCAGTGTTTCTGGTGATGAAGATGGTCCACTGTGCGATACAATCAGTAGAAAAACATTGTTCTATTTGATTGCCACTTTGAATTCAGCTTTTCATCCAGATTATGATTTCTCTGATGCTAAGAGTCACGAATTCAGTAAAGAACCAAGCTTGCAATGGGTCATGAATGCTGTAGACAGTAATTTGAGTGCAACCGCAGGAGATCATTATCGTACTCTTCGAACGGCACTTTGGGCTGCCATTGATCATGAAATATCATTAAATGAATGTGATATTTATAGGTAAATATTTTGATTTATAATTTTTCCACGGGGAAAAATTATATATTAAATAAGATTAAAAATATGGAAATATTTTAGTTACAATCCAGACTTTGCATCTGATCCATTTGGAGAAGATGGATGCTTATGGTCTTTTAATTATTTCTTCTATAACAAGAAGTTGAAACGCATTGTGTTTTTCCCATGCAGAGCAATAAAGTAAGTATATCCATTCTTCAATTTAACCATTGTTCAGTTAGATTTACTATCATTCATTTTTATGTTTACAGTCCTCTCTACGTGTTAGATTCTGGTGTTGGCAGTGACTTTGCCATGGATGAAGATGAAGACAGATACTAAATTCATAATACATGTTTACAAACTTTATCACTTATCTTTATTAGTTCTGCCATACAGGGACATAAATGAACATTAAATTTCTTTTTTTACAGTAGTGTTACGTCCAACTAACCGCCACTACCGCTTCGTGAAACTCTGACGTTACATAATTAAAATAAACAAAAGTATCAGATATCCATATCCCATTCACATTCAATAGAGAATAGTTTTCTAGAGCTATATTTCTCTTGAAAATTAACCAAATATAATTCGCTATGGTTAATACGCGGCACTACTGTACATAACTTATTATTATGTACAGTCATATATTTTGAATTTTACAATTATTTCATTTATTTTCACTTACAATGACATTTATTTCAGACTCAATGGAGAATTTAATTATTTTGTTTCTCAATTTCTCTTTTATATTGAAACGTAATTTAATCAACAAAGAATCAAACAGAAGAACAATACTGTAAGAACTTAGAATCATATTATTTTCTATATGAATTTATAATTTTTATATATACGTTATTATCCAAGATATTTTAAACATATAAATCTACTAGTAATCAAATTTTTATAAGCCTAAAAACTAGATTTTCTTTCTATGTGAAATGTTCAAATTCATAATATTAGAAAAATTCTTATTATCATTTATATAAAAAAGCAACAAACTTAGTGGATTTTAAATTGATGTTGTGCTAAGTTCCGTTTAAATTGACGTTGTTAGAATTTTTCAGAATTATTGTGACGATAATTGGTGTTGTACTAAGTTGCTCTGTTAAAACATTGTAATTATTGTGATGATAGTAATAAGGAAATTAAAATAAATCTAATTTGATATTATAAAATAGAAGTAAAAAATTAGAGCAACAGTAGATCTAAAAGTGCAACATTAACTTTCGAATCCTAGTCATTATATTTTTAAGTTATAAAAAATTTAATAACTGTTTATGCTCTTTGCTATAAAAATCAATCTATGATATTCTTAATGTCTTAAATAAGCTTTCTATATAAAATTGTTTATGTTTCATATATTATTTTTAATAAATATACACGATCTTAGTGTATGTATTGATATACAAATATCCAGTTTTGTGAATTATAAAGTTTTTAATTCAATATTTTGAATTTACTGCTATGAAACTAATTATCAGATCGTGCAATATGTATAAATAGTATAGTAGATTTTACTATAACTTTCATATAGCGTGGAAAATTTAATTTTACGTCACTAATAAATATATACATGTATACATATATCTTGTGAATTTAAAAAACAGCACTATATTCGAGTTAGATTACTAGTTTTTGATTAAAAACAGTGATTTTCAAATGATTTCTATAATATATATGTATAACCTTAGTTTCCTTAAGATTACATGTTTCTCTGTCTGCATTTAAATAAACGTTATGAATCGATACATAATTCAGTCATGCATTGATATTTTCTTTATCTCTCATTCTTAGTGACACGAAATCTTTATAATATAACATGAAATAAATAAAGCAACAAGCACAAACATCATGCCTATTTTCATTGAATAGTAACTTTAAACCTAACTTACCTAAATTATCAGGCAATTTAACTTATTTGTACATCATAACATCAGGAGATTGATACATGCACATATATGCATCGCATAACAGTCGTTTTGCATGCTCCGGTAAATGACGATCATCTGTTAGTTCAGTTAGATAATTTCCACCTTCTTCACTTAGCCAATATGGGAAATCTGGACACGGAACCATTTCCGGTATATTGTAACCGTTTTGTTCCCCTAAAGAAAGAAGAAGTCTTATCAATGAAAAATAAAGATTCAATAGATAAATGTATCGAAATATTTTTCGATAAGATTGAAAAATACCTTTCCTATCAGCCATAGAATCAAAGAAACACCATGGTGCTTCCGAACCAGAACCACATTTTACGAAACATACATAATGAGAGGTTTCAATGCAAACAACTGCTGATAATTCCAGATACAATCGTGGAACCGGACAATGTTCTTGTAAAATAGCAAACTCCATTGGTACTATAAGTTTCTTTGGTTCGTGATTTGTTCTTCGTTCATGTCGATGCACCTAAACAAATTAACCTTCGATTTTAAAAGTATAGTTCTTCTTTATTCGCTCATTCATTTTACCTTTTCTAAACATTGCAAACAGAAAGCAATGCTTTCGAGTCCAACGCCACATTGTCCATAGCACTGTTTACATTCGTATTCCGCTAATTTTCCACAAACAGTACATTGTCTTGGAGCTGCAAATTAGAGATGACTACAATGTTCATATATTACAATATAAAAATAATATAATACCTACAATCCTCGATTATATCTGTTACATCAAGTAACAATGTAGGTTGAATTTTCTGATACATCTTGAACGATTTTCCAAATCGTGGCATTTGTATAATAAGACATGAAGGAACTTCTTTCAATCTTATATTACTTGTAAGAAAACTCTGTTCTAATAATTGTTGAACAGTTGGAAGATTTAAGTGATCATCTTTTTCAACAAAAAGTTGATAATGATATGCATCTTGGCCAGAACTTAATTTAAGAAATGGTTCAGCATTCAAAATTTGGGCAACCAGTGATGTTAAAAATTCTTCAGGATCTGAATAATTTTATTTATTCATGTATGTACTATGTATTTGAATAATTTTATTTATTCATGTATACACTATGATCAAATACCTTTTTCTTCACTAGTAAGCCCGGATACAGATGATAGCTTTTCAAGTAAAGTCCGGAGTTTCATTACTCGATCTGCTCTTACAAACATATTTTTTCTAAGTGGATTTACAATTTCTTCGCGTAATACTCTTTGTACTTCTTCATATTGTGGACAATCCTTTTCATTCGGTGGTCTAAGAAAACAATATATTATACGTATATTTTATTTTTGAAAAACGAAAATGAAATAATGTTTGAGATTGATACCTAAATAAAAGATTATCAAAAACACTAGTAAATGTAAACATGCTGAAAAGAGTAGCATCTAAATAACATGAATTATGATGACCTTGGATCCCCCGATATTTTCCACAAATACTTTCTAAATTTCCTTTTACGGAAATGGGTCGTACCATACCGACGATAACAGAGCTTTCCATATTTCCGAAATTATCTGTATTTACTGATGTTGTTGGATTATCAATTTTTGCCTAAACAAATATATATTGTTATACAAATATAGAGAGAATATACAATACAATACTTACCATGGTATCATATCGTGAACATTGATCAAGATCCGTGAAAATGGCTCTGTAAGGCAGACAATGGAAATATCTTACATCTTTGTATGTCCCATCGGTACCAGATGGGTAACTATCATCCTATAAATAAACGAAACGAGTATACTTTTCCATTAATAATTTATTATTGTTAGTTTTTATGTTACATACCAATTCCACAGCTGCCATTAATTTACCAGACGTAATACCAGAAGGAGTTCCAATCCAACGAATAACTCCATAGTGTACATCAGAATCCAAAAGTACCTTCACATTTGAACCCACAATTAAATCTAAATTTTCTGTTCGTCCAAATTTTTTATTTTCGTTCTTTTCAGGTGTGCTACCTGTTACAATTGAAATTTACATTCATATATTGAAATCAAAATAAATATATCTCTATAAAAGAACATTGATTGTAACTAAAATTCTGATAGAAAAAGTAGAATGTAATTCAACAAATTAAATAGACGTGGAATGCTAATAGAGTTTAAGAATGTCTATTGTTCCTTACTACAATCCAATGGACTTTCAAGCGTTCTCTCAATATCACTATACACATTTGATTCAATATCACTACTCCATTTATGTTCTAATACAAAGAGGGGAATGTTTTGCAATGCAGCAGCCATTTTATAATAAAATTATGATAGGTTTATAACACCAAAAAGCTTGCCGGCAGTACTAACCGAGACTAAGATTGTGGTTATTTTTAACCACCTCAGTTATTCTTAACTCCCTCTACTAGACATGGTAGGCAAAGGCAAGCATACTATGTGAGATTCATAGAAAAGTTAGCAAGATATCCTATCGGGCATTAAACTGAGCAAATGTAAAATTTATTTTTATATTTTTGCTGTTACCATGGGTGACGGCACTTTTAGTTACATTGCTGTCATTTTCATGTGTTGCTGATTTTATTGACTGATGGTATTCTTTTGATGTAGACTTTTGATCTCTATTATTGTTTTTATTATCATCATACAGACTAAATCTTTCCAATAGGACAGGTGGTATTGTATCTAATACAGACTTTTTCTTCTCATTTGTACAATTATTGCTTGCTTCACTTTTCACGCAAAAATCTGAAATAAAAGATTCAATTAACGAATCAAAATCCTATAAATTGAAAAACAGAATATTTTTGTCTGTACTTTTATCTGATTTTGCAAGACCTGTAGGACCTCCAGGTTTTAAAGGGAAAATGTTACTCAGTGTAGCGAATCTTCCCTCAGAATGAGTACAAACAAAGTACTCTTTACTTAGTAAAGCTGTCTTAGATGGTTCATCGCTATCCTACAAGCATATCATCATACAGTTATATTTGTGCATCTTATAAAAAATATTAAAAAAAAAACGAAATATTTCATTGAATTACCAACAAGTCAAGGCCAAAATAATATCCTTGTCCGAGTTGTGGCACAGGTCCAATGTATTTAATAATAGCTAAATATTTGGTGCATCCCAGGGGATCAACGCAATACCAGACAGTGTCATTCACTCCTAAACTCAGGAGTTCTTCGCACAGGTGTTTGTAATTTGCCAAGCGAACCTTCTCTTGAGGCACTGAAATAGCAGGTAGAAATTTCCATACTTCTGGCGTAACGGGAATTAGATCGAATTTGTGACATTGCCATTCGGTGCCATGCCAAATTTCAGATCCTGTTGTATCAATCACGCGTACTTTGAGCGCGCTGTCACCCAAATCTTCGATAGCTTCCACCAGCATGCCGAGACGCAACGTATTGACATTCTTGTCGCATTCGCTGGACATACGCTTCAGAATGGTATTCTGTTTTGCGACAAAATACTGCGAGGCCTGACGGTCCTCTTTATTACTGGAATTTCGTTTTTCCATAATTAATCGCTGAAGAGCATGGTAACAGAACGATTTAACAGACAGAACGTGTATGGAACACGCGGATAATATACGACATTTATCTCGATCATTGCTCAGTTTTTGTTTTAAGTCAAATTAGACAAATAGAAGCCTCATATTCATGTTACTTAACTTATTATCAAGATTCGAAAGTATCCAGCAGAAATATTTAAAGAAATGTTGTTCACACCATGCGAACGGATGCCCCATTCGTGACAATCAAATTCAAGCAGAAGGATGCACCTTGACTGTCAATTTCTGTAGGGTATTTAACAGTGAGAAAGACAAGTTGCAGAAGTGCTGTTGGTAGCGTTACATCTTAAGTCTCGTTCTTATTAACGCAGATTGCACACGCGTATTATTTGATTTTTTAAATGTGAACAAATTCTTAACAATCTTAAAGTTGAATCGAGAATTAAAAATGATCTCTCCTTAAACGTATAAGAGAAATCTGCGAGTCAGATTATTTTCTCTTTCAAACGAAAATATTATTATTATATATGGTTAAAGGAAATATCTTCCTTATTATTCACTAGTTTTATTTTCTACAAACTACGCAAATTAAACTAAAGTAATTTAGGCTTCATGATATTTAAAATTCATAGTACTAGGGTACAACAAGGCAAATGCGCAATGCTGTTCGGTAGTTTACGAGAAGATTAAAATTCCCTGCAACGCTGTTGGACACTTTTCTAGTTTATGAGACTCGTGGACATCGAGTTTGAAATATGAGCGATCTTGGATTTACCGATATGTTAAACACGGACTCATCCCGAGTGTCAGGAGATACTGGCTTCAGTGAATTATTGCGGTCAGCAGAACGGTTATCTGCTGCTGTAGAAGGCAATGAAGAACTTCCTCAGGTTGAGAGAAATCTTCGTCAAATTTTAGAAGCTTCCAACGAACTTTGGTCTCGTGTCACACAAACCGGCACGCAGGATAATCAAGTACAAGCGTAAGAATATTCGTCTATTTATCGTACACGAAGTTTTTAGATAATTCCTAATCGAATAGTATAAAATTTATATTTTTGGTATAAAACTTATTTACTTAGAGAAACTGTATTCGCAATGCTATTTATAACCTAAGAATATTATAAATTTCTGGCGCCAAAATTCTCAGGACAGTACTTATCACTTTAATTTCAATAATTTGATTTTATAATTAAAATAAAATTTGTTTCATGTTTCTCAAATTTATTTAATATGTGTAATATATGTATAATGTTTTTAAATTTCAGGCATCTGTTGCTTGGTTCACGTGGTGTTGATTTACCTCAGATTTCGCAGAAATTAAGTTCACTTAGTGCACGACGTACATTTGAACCTTTAGATCCTATTGCGGATACAGATATAGTTAATTACCTTAGAAATGAAAAAGAAAATGCTATTTTATCAATCATTGAACAGGTTCATAAAGATGTAAGATGTTTTATCATGTTTTTTTGTAAGCAACATTTCAAGATATTATAAATAGAAATTTATAAACTATATAAATTTATTTTAGACATTTGAACTTACCAGAGTTCAACAAATGGAGCATATGTTGGGTGAATGGAAACAAATGAGATTTGAGATAATAAATGCCATGACAGCTCCGTCTGGGGAGCTTGTAGATTTACGTGGTACTCCACAACGTACTAAATTAGCTGGGTCAATGATTACTGGTTTATCCAGTGTAGAAGTAGCTTATGTAAAAGAATTACAAAATTATAATGATCATGTGCTTAGGGGAATAACTAAGCCAAATTTGTTTAATGCATTTTGTGAAGCTGCAAAGTCATTTGATGACAAAAAAATTGTGGACCTTTGGAAAATGGTTAAATGTATGGTAAATATTCGACCAGTCCCCAGAGAAGATCAGATCAAATCAAGAGGTACACCTATTGTTGAACAAGAAATTGTATTACATGCAAGAAAATACTTGGAAGATAGATACAAAGAATTTATGAACTCTGTTATTAATGAAAACCCTGCTCAAGCCAAACGGGGTGGCATTCCAGGCACTGTGCCATTAGTTAAAAGTTTTGTCAGTGTTAAAGTACAAAATCTGAAAGATTTAGAAGCTGTCATGGTTGAAGACAAACCATTGTGGCCTTTAGTTTATTATTGTATGAGGGTTGGTGATTACAAAGCAGCATTGCAATGTCTTAGTCAGTGTAACACAGAATTTCCAGAATTTAAAATTGCCTTGGAAGAAGCTTGTTGTGATGTTCAGAGACATCCTAGTAGTTCTGCAGAATCAAATTTAAAGTTACAATACAGAAAACATGTTAGATCAGTTACTGACCCATATAAAAGAGTTGCATATTGTGCACTAGTTCCTTGTGAACCTGATGACTTGCACTCTGATGTAATATGCACAGCTGATGATTATTTGTGGTTGAAACTATGCCAGGTTAAAGATCAACCAGATGCAGAAAATAAATTGACCTTAGATTATTTACAAACTATGATATCAGAAATATATGGAGAATCATATTATCATGCTCACGAACAACCATTTGTATATTTTTCAATGCTATTTTTAACTGGTCAGTTTGAAGCTGCAATTGAATTTTTGGCAAGAGGTGCAGCAGCAAGGCATCTACCACATGCTGTGCATTTAGCGGCTGCTATGCATGAACATAACTTATTAGGAGTTAGTCAAAGTGTCTTAGCACCTTTAATAAGCGTTGATCCTGCTGATAAGCCTCCTGCTAAAAGATTAAACTTTGCCAGATTAATATTATTATACGTTAAACGATTTGATTCTACAGATCCAAAGGAATGTTTACATTACTTATTCTTATTAAGGTTTGTATAGAAAATCAAATAATCATCGAAATTTCTAAAATTTAATTTTGATTATCTGATTATTTCTTAGATCTATGAAAGATCCGCATGATCGTAACATGTTTGCTGCATCAGCTGCAGAAATGGTAGTTGATATTTCTCCAGCAGTCAGAACTCAATTAATTGGAAAGATAGTAGAAGATCGTTGGATACCAGGAATTTTAGATCAATTCCAAATTAATACAGAGGATGTTATAAACATAAGCGCAGATACATTATATAGAAAAGGTCTTTTAGAAGATGCAGTGACAGTATATGATCTTGCTCGCAATCACGAAAAAGTTCTTAGTCTCATGTGTACGCTCTTGGCGCAAGTTGTTAATCAAAGGACTTCTCCGGGATCACTCAGATCTCGATTGCAAGTGACTGCTACCGACATAAGCAAAAGGTAACATTGAGAAGGTTATTGTTATCAGAAAACATTAAATATGTATATAAATATTTATTTTTAGGTATCAAAACATTGAGATACAAGCACCTTCTGAATTGGTATCTGCATTTTACACTTTAAAGCATCTAATGGTGTTCTTTGATCAATTTCACAATGAACAATACCAGAGTGCGCTTAGGGTAAGATACATTAGATTATAAATATTCGTATTCAAGTTTATATTAAATATAATTATATTAAATATAATTATTATAATTATTTTTATTTATATAGACTATTTCGGAGTCGAAATTACTACCATTAAATATAAAAGAAGTCGACGAAAGAGTAAACGCGTTGCGGCGAGTACCACCTGAAGTAACTGGTACATTAGCCGACGTTCTTTTAGCTACAATGACAATACTTTATCGTCAATATCAAAAGTTACGATCGATGGAACCAGGCGATGAAGAAGCAAGAAAACAGCAACTTCTTGATCTTCGAGAACAAGCACGAGCATTAACTAGTTTCGCAGGAACACTTCCGTATCGTATGCCAAATGAAACAAATAGTAAACTTGTACAAATGGAGATCCTTATGTGCTGAATTAAACATATTTCTTACTTTATTTTCGATATACTACTGTAAGTGATACAACTGATACATTTGTGCGAGCGAATTAATGAGGCATAAATAATAATATGTGTTTACAATTCTTCAATTTTTAAAAGTATTATAAATACAATGTATATATTTTTTTGTACTTCCATAAGTTAAACAAAAATTATAAATAGAATAAATGTATTGACTTTCGAGAAGCGCAATTGAACATAAGAAATGCGATTAGTAATTTATTTTTTTAGTATGTTTAAAATATATTTATTTTATTGATAAAATTTTTTACCCAAAAGAATTATTGTCATTTGTACTTTTGAGAGATGTAATAGATATTCCATAACTAAGATCTTGGACTTTCCCTTCTTTCATCTGAAAAAGATCCATGTAATTATTCATTTTTATTTCTTTATATTGATATTATATTACTTACAGCTCTATAGTCAAGCAACATTTCTTTGAAGGACATGAAATCTGTAAATGTTGATAGCACTTCAAATACTTCACCTTCCAATTCATTTTGCTTATTACTGTATCATTCAATAATCATTAAAAAAATCTTTTAGTAATATTTACGATTTTCATATATATTAAGTATAAAATTGTTATGCTTACTTTAAATGTTCTAAAAATGTGTCAATATTAAAATGTGGTATAATCTTTTGCAAGTAATTAACAATATAATTTTCTACAGCCTTATTCTATAAAAATCATGTATCAGTACATAAGTATAAAAAATTTGTTACTTTCATCACTGAACTACTTACATATTCATTAAATATATTTGTGTAAATTAATTTATTTTCTTCCGCAGGCTCAAAAACATCCCAATAATTATCTAAAAATTTTTTTTGAATAGCATGGAAATCGTCTTCTAAAAATAAAATTTTTATTATAAAACTGAAACTTTGTTACACCTTGCCTTACACACCTAATAAAATATCTTCGATGTATCCAATAATTTCATCGAAAAGTTTATCTTCTATGGCTTTAGAACTCTGCTCCATGTTTCCTTCGTCATATGTTAAGGTACAATTATTTATTAAACAATATTAAAATATTATTAAAACACGTTTTAATAATATTACGTTACATTTATATTTATATTCATATAGGTATTCATAATCAGCATCATTGAATAGTTGTTAATATTTGGAAAATAAGTATATGTTTAATCGTATATTAAAATAATAATAAATAATTAAAATAATATAAACAAATAATTAAAATATAAATAAATAATAAAAATAATAAAATATAAATAAATAATAAAAATAATAAAATATAAATAAATAATTAATCTTAATAAATAATTAAAATAATATAAACAAACCTATTGTTTCTTCAGACATAATTCCAATTGTTTACAAAATTAAGGCACTGTTTATTTCTATGGTAGAACAGCTTATTATTTGTCAGATATCATCGATATCAATAGGTCGATAATTGTTGAAAACGAGAATCGAGGGAATATTATTCGTCGACCAATCAGGTTTATTGAATTTGAATTTTTTATAACAGTTAATTTATCATTGTTTCAACGTTGATTGCAAATATGAGTGATCATTGAGTGATTTTTGGAATGAACATTCTTTTTTTATTCGCTTATATATTTAATTAAATTTATAATATTTGAAAATATAGATCAGATCTCGATCTGTTTTAACAAAAGAGCGTGCAGCTTTCTTGGTTCTTAACTTTGTTAGACTTGAAGTACAATTACTACGGAAGTTTCGTTTTCATTTCGTTAGATATATTAGATAAAAGATTAAAATCGACATTCTCGATAAAACTTGTAATAGTACAATAAGTTGGTAACTGTAAATAGATAAGCGTTCATAAATTTTTAATATGATCGATCGATTTTTTTATAAAACTTTTTATTTTACAGATAACGCACATCGATGGAGGTATACGCCTTTGATAAGAGTCTTCAAGAAAGGCTAGTAGAATTAACAGAAATTTTATCCAGTAGAGGCGAAATTGTACCTGCATCACAAATTAAAGCAGAATGGTCTTATCACGTAGAACTTGTAATAGAACCTGTTGGCTGGCAAGCATTATGGAAAATATCACGTTTGGTGTGTGAGGATTTTCATATCCATTATCCTACTATAGTGGTTGTACAGGTTGAGCAAGTTGATTTTTCTGATTTATCTGCATTAGTGAAAATTATTGCTGTCCAAGATGATATTCAATTACTTGACAAGTACGACGTACCACTTATTGAGCTTTACCCAACACATATGCAAGAGAATAATGCTTTGGATATGGTGGGTACTGCAACTTGCATTGATCAGTTGAGGTTCTTTTATAAATACTTATGGATGCCATGGGATGTAGATGATGATGATAATGTTGATTGGGTGTCTGTACATTTAGAAACTAGAATTAGATTATTCTTTGACATGAAAAGAAGTGTTATTAGCAATGAAACTAGTGATTTCATTAGAAGTTTGATAAGAGAAGGAAGAAAAATTGAAGAGAAAATATCAAGATTAGAAGATACTATTTCTGAAGAAGAACAAGAAAATGATATAGATGGGGGAACAGCACGTCAATTAATGGAACTTCATTTTCGGTTACAACAAATTAAAAGGGAGATGGAAGTTCTTGAAAATCCAGCTATGAGAGAGATTCTTGTAAATCAGACCTCGTCTTCAAAAAATGATAACATAGAAAGAATAGAAAATAATGAAAAATGCAAAGATGGTCATTTTGTATGGCTTGGTGGTACTCTGGAACAAATGAAGGAAGCTATAAATAAAGTTCAAACATCTTTACCTACAGAATTATTTTTCAAGTAAGTTGTAATAATATTAAAAACGCTTCATTAGTTTTTAATTCCTTGATATTTTTTTCTAGAATATCTGGATCTTTGTTAGAGACTCTGTACACGTGCGATGCAGGAGATATCATTGTAGTTGGAAAAGGAACTCATACAATAAAAGGTGCTGGTAGATTGGAAGATGGTGGTATCATTAAAGGAATTGATAGTTCAGAACATACTATCCTTAATAAAAAAGACATTGAAACTGCACCATCATTGCTTGATTTTTCTGGCAATGAAGTAAGTTATATATTTAATCATTTCTAATTAATTGCAGCTATATTGTGTATATAGGTTAGGTGTGTTTATGCTATATTGTGTTTATATGTGTTTATAGGTTTTGCTAGAAAATATCACTGTAGACGTAGGTGATCTTAGAGCAGCTGTTATAGTGAGAGCTGGAACTACAAAAATAGTCAATTGTAAAATATGTGCCTTAAATAAGAGTATGGTGAAACTAGGAATTGTAGTTTTACCTAATGCAAAACTAATAATAGAAAATACACTTTTTGATAGTCTTGTGACTGGTTTAGTCATTTATAGCAATGGAGAAGTATTTATGAATAATTGCATCTTTACAAATTGTGCAGAGGGTATACAAGTACGTATTTTCATCTCGATTATCACAATTATGCATAATTATGATATTCTGTAATTTTTAGATTTATGATAATGCAAAGTTAATAGCAAAACATTGTTCTCTGACACAACTTAAAGAATATGCCATTCGATTGGAAACGCAAAAATATTTAAACGATACAAAACGTAAATGCGGTGGCTTTGAATTACTGGAGAACGTATCTGAAATTTCTCTTTATGATTGTAAATCCGAGAGTAACGGCAAAGGAGATGTGATGTTGAAGCCAGCTACGTCGTTTGTTTTAAAAAAAACTATGAACCCGTGAATATGGAGATTTAAAGTAATTTATTTTATATTATAAATGAATTTTCTATTTTTGTTATAAAAGTGCATGTAGTTCTCGAATCCTATAAGAAATATAAGAATTTTGTACTTTTTTATGTGAATTTCTGCTTAGAAGTTAGGATAGATGTAATCTATGCAAAGAAGATTATTTCTATTCATTTCTTCGTAATTAAAAACAATTATGAATTATATACAAAACTTATATGTATATGCGATTTTTTCATCGCTTTTTCTGCAATTAATTTGAAACCAATTGAAAAGGACGTGGAAGTTTTTAAATTGCAAGTTATATTACTAGTTATATTCGTCATCGTTAGATGGCAACACCATTTCAAATTGTTCGTTTACGGTGTGTGTTTCTATATTTAAAAACCTTGTGTACTATTGTAAATACCATTTTTAAATGTATGTGTCGTATTTTATCGGTGCAGTATCTTACACTTTAAAACGATCTGTAGTAAGCTTCTCATTATTTAACTTGCATTATTTAACATACTTTAATCTTTCATGTCGCAAGTAATTCGAACTTGCCTCCTAACCTACGTGCATTTCTCTAATATTTTTTTCGATAATTCTATTAGTAACGTTATTTTATGATATTTCATTTCATTAGGTTTTTTTCTATAAGGTCAATTAGAATAATGCTCGAAAAATAAATTTTATTTTATTTGGAAGTACTTCGGGACACGAGTCGGACAAACCTAACCTATAACACATCAAATTGACGTCAATATATAGACACATGTATACATAAATGCATCTGTTACACGAGCTGCACGCATGCTATATATATGTACACAAAAGGAGATAGATAACGTTGCATACATTGTACATACATTGGCGTGACGTAAATGATTATTCGATCTATTTCCATATTGTATTCATCGCTGTTTCGTTTAAAGACCCGTTCGTATCTATAAATGAAGTCATAAGTAGTTGGCCATGTGGTCGTATCACGTGTACACGGATGAATGAAGTAGCATGATTTAGAGGCTCGTACTTTCGATGATGAATGGAAATCCTTCCGTTAGTGATACCGCTTATCAGTTTTCCAGTCACTGCGTGGTCATTGGCCTGTTAGGCTAGTAATATTTTTAGGCTTTCCTACAGATGAAATTACGGTTTCTTTTCTTTTTAAACAATAGATTACATTCCTTTTTATTTCTAACTCTTTGAGTTACACTCGTGGTAAGAATTGATGATTTCAAATTTGAAAAAGGGAAAGCAAATTGTAGAATCTGAATTTAGATTTTCAATTTTAATTCTTCGAACTGAAGATTAATAAATACAAATTATATATAATTTCTTCTTTCAATGTTTCACATGTGATACGATGCAACATGTTATAATAATTAATGTTTACCGAAGATTCAGAGGAAAATCATAATTTTAAGAAAAAAAAAAAAAGTTAAGTTATTAATAAAAATTCATTTTCTCATTACAGAATGTTCTAGTCAGAAAGACTATCACTTCCAGTCAAATTTTGAACCAACGAACGAAGAATATGGTAGAGACGACTTGTGCGAAGCAATTGACGGATCGACAGACGCAATTTGGCTATGCGCGCATACTGGATTTATCGGAATGCATCTTTGTGTTCAAGGGTTCGCAATCGGATTACGAGGAACCATCGTCGGACGAGGAGGTGAGTGATTTTCCTGTTATATCAATTTTGCATCTATACTGTGTGATCAGTTTAAATTGATATATATATATTAATGTATGTATTTGAAGAAACAGATTAAAAAAATTGGCTACTCCATTTTTATAGAGAGTGTGGAGCTACATACACACACACACACACACACACATCTCGTTAGAAGTGCCTTATTCTAAATAACGTTTTAAACGCGATATTCATTTTATAAAAATTAATTAAAAATTATTTAGGTAACTAAGTAACGTAACGTATTTGTCAATAGCAGTGTAAAGTATCGAGAAAACGTAATAATAATATATAAACACGGTCACACAGTATAACTTATAAGTAGAGAAATGCTTACTTTTCAACTGCATATAATTGTATTATGAAAAGTTTCAATTCCATTTCTTTTTTATAACGTACAATTGTAGTTTGAAGTGGATTTGATAAAAATTTATGTACTATACAGTGTCGCTATACATTGCTTTAGTTTTACGATTTTACGAATGCTATTTGCGAGTTAATATGTTCTAAGATGACGTCTGTATGGTTATCAATATGGGTTTACAAATCATCAATATAGCTGTGAGTGATATTTTTCGTATATTTATTTCGTACGACAGAAAAAGTCGTAAAAGTCGTGGCTCGTAAAAGGTTTACATGGGAACTTCTTAGTAATACACGAGCTACAATAAACTCGTGCCACGAGGTATCGAAAAATATGGGATTGGGAAATTTATTTCGCGTTATTGACTTTTTGGAGCCTGGTTTCTTTCTCCCTTTTTTTTAAGAACAAGAATTGATATATATGCCATATATGTATTTATTTATTTATATGCTGTATATGTATATAATATTTAATATTTAGTATACATATATAATATTACTGATATTCACTTTGCTGTGGTTTTTCCTTAATTTCAACGAGCAAAAGAATTTTTAAGAAAAATATTTTTCGTTCGAATCTATTGTTAGAAAAGACTTGTTTATGATAATTACACCCCTTTCGTGAGACCTTCTCACGACGTAAAGTCCACGACCCCGTTACTTTCACCGTACAGCGAAATCCACGTTCCCTTCTCGTAGGAACCGTTCACGCGGACGCCTATGATTAAAAATTACAACACTGGAGTCGAGCGAAAGGGAGAGGCCTCGCGATGGTATGCATGAAGCTCGTAGATCTTTTTGTTGCGTAGTAAGTTATTAGCGAATCAGACATTCCTTCTGGGTCATCGTAGAATTTCTTTTATTTTCCTTCTTATTAAGCAATTTTCTACGCAATTTCCAGACAAACAAATCCGAATGGTTCAGCTCTGATCGCGTGGCTTTCGTTTAAATCTTAATTCAATTTTAGTTCTTTCAACAGCTCGTTTTTTCTTTTCTTTTTATTAATACACATCCCAACTTGATTTATCTCACTTTCGTCCAATTCGAAACGTTCCGATTGTTAAAAATTCGTGGCGAATCGGAGCACTCCAATTCAAAGGAAGAAGGATTAAGTGTAAAAAGATCGTAACGTGACGTTAATGAGCCTGGTTGATTTAGAATTCTTCCTCTCTGCAGAACGATTCCGTTCTTTCTTTTTTTTCCCCCTATTTTCTCCTCTTCGTTCTTTCCTCTGGCACGTTCTGTCACGAGGGATCGTTAAAAACAACGCGGAGGAAAGAGGGATAAGCCTCATAACACATCCGTCGATGCTTTTGACCAGCACCACCGTGCACGAGTTATTTGCAGCCTTCGTGTCTTTCGGAATGACTGATCGACTTTTTCCCTCGTTCCTCTCGTTCATTCTGTCCTCGTTCTTATTTTTCTGCTAGCTCGACGCTTCCGTGTTATTTCATTCATCGCTCTGTGTCTCTCCCGCGTTTCAAACATTTCTAATTTTCAATTGTTCCAGCTCGTGTTCTCGGTGCTTGCTCATCGACACCAGTTTATACCCTTTGTCTCCTCTCTCATCTCTCATGTCGCTGCTTTTTATCGTCTTCATCGTCGCTTCATCGTTTTATAAACAGCCAGTCCACCGTTTCTTTTTCACTTCTTCAAATTCATTCAGTGCCCGTTCTACGTGTCACATCTGCTCTCATCTCTTCTTCCTCCTCTTCCACGCGAAATTCTCGTCTCCTTGTTGTGTGTTTCCAGATTTATTTACCGACAACCATCTCTCTCTCTCTCTCTCGATCGTCGTTCTTAATTCATTCGCCGCTTTCCCTTTCGACCGTTCTTCTTCCTGTTTCATTCACCGTCTAGCGCCTTTTTAATAATAATCTGACCCGACCTTTCCTCCTTTTCAACGCGCGTCTCATCTCACGCAGGTGCCACCGCATTGATATCTTTTCCTTTCTTTTTTAATATTCCAAATGTCGTCGGGGAAATTAATAGCGGCGCCTTTTGTTAAATTAAATGGTTTTTTTTTTCATAACGGCATCGTCGCGTCGTCCATTCGGTGTCTTCTTTCTCTTCTTTTTTTTTGTTTTGTTCATTTTTTTTTTTTTTTTTTTTTTTTTTTTTTTACTACGTTTTCGTCTAGGACGCGGTTCATTGTTTGCTTTATCATGAAAATTGCGTGTTTCCGCGAGTGCTCGAGAGCACGCCATTCAAGAACATAATAAACTGTTCTGTCGACTTCTTTTTTTTTTCGTTTTAAATCCCCCCCCCCCCGACTAGGACTATTCCTTCGCGTTTTTAGCCATTTCTCTTCAACACGTCGTTTTTTTCTTTTTTTCATTTTTTTTTTCCATCCTGCCTCTCCGTCTTCTTTTTTTCCAGCCCTTCCTCTGGAAGAGAGATACACGTCTTCATTGAGCCAGTTTCTTTCCTCCTCGTGGCTGGCATTGGTGAACAAGTTATTCTCGACGCAGTATACATACGTACACATTGTGCCTCTTTCGTTACGTGTTATCTTGGACGTTACTGTCCAAGCGCTAGTTTTATTGTTACGTTCTCATTTATCATATTTACTTGCCGCTGGATATAGAAGTCATTCTCTTTTGAAAATGTGTCCACTAAATCAGGCTGAATACTCGATGCTTTATTACCACCGTAACATACTTTGTACGTGTTCGTAGTGTGTGTCAGTAGTTTTGTACTTTACATACATACTCTGGCAGTCAAATTCTTTGACGACTCGATACTCTGTTGTTTTAACGTTTAATGCATTAATTTAACGTATGAATACAATACTATTGCTTTTTAACATTGTAATGCTTCGGTATTTTAACACTTTGGCACAGACTTTGATGTTCGGAACATGTTCAGTTGCTCCGAAAACTCCAACACTGCTGTTATTTTAATATTTATATTACTCCAGTATTTTAATACTCCGATAATTCAATACTTCGAAACTTTCCTCTTCCAATATATCCCAGTGTTCTAATACTTAATGCTAATATTAATCCAATACGTTAACGGCTGAATATTTCAGTGCTCCGATATTCCAATATTTCGACATTCCAGCACTTAATGACTCAGCACTTCAGCCCCTAAACATTTAAATATCTCAACTGTACGGTTTTCCAATACATTAATATCCCGACGTTGCAGTGTGTTTCAATACTCGTTGATATTCCAATACTCGGCGTGTCAATAATCTGATATTCCAATTCTTTGGCTCCAATCAAATGCCTCCCTCGATATTCTAACATCCCGATATTAACATTTCACCGTTATTCTAATCTAATATCGGGCGCCAAAGAGTAGCCAATTTTTTTCTTTTTTTTTTTTTTTTCGATTACACACAATTAACGCAGAGTTTTTCCTCTGTTTCGTTAGTGGCGATTTCATTCTTCAGTTTAATTGGGCCTAGCCGAGAAAGGTGATCTCATCCGGTTACTTGAACCACACGGTCGAGATACGTTCTTAACGCTGGTATCGGTAAAGAGAATACTGCTGGTTCGCTCTAGAAATAGAAGAAATTCCTGAGTCGGATGATCGAGCAGAGATCGAACTGTCAATATGTATTTCCGGGCCGGATTATTCTCGGCTACGTTCCTCGTTCGTGATTTCGCGTGTATTTTCTACACTGAACCGATTAAAATCGACGCGTCGACACTGGTGGCTAGTGCCAACATTAGTAATGGATAAATACTCTGGCTCGCCGCGCGCCTCTCTTTACGAGCTGAAACGTATCGTTTATCCGTCGGAATAACGTCCCATTAATTCGAACACTTTTGCATCGTACGTTCGTTCGTTGCACGCCACTTACGCGAAACCCCTCGCCTGTCGTGCTGAAATCGTTCCTATTCGACTAAATATATCCTTTCGCCAGCGTCTGCATTGACGGTCGCGACTGTTATTCGGTATTCTGTTTCTTTCTTTTTTTCCTTTCTTTCTAAAAATTCGACATTAATCAGGTCGATCGCGGGCACAAGTCGAGACTGATTATTTTCATTAGCAGATTTAGGTAATTCTGTCCATTAGTTTTATCCATTGGATAATTCTGTGGTTTGTTTCTTCAACGATCTGACATTCTGACATTGATCTGTGCTTGAGCAAAGTATAACATGATATAATATTCAGAGAAAGATCGGCAATAGCCTGGAATCGTAAAAGACGTGATATCAAATCCTTTCCAAGAGTCTTGTCTTTTACTAATTTATATTCAATTTCCCTATTAAACCTGTGCCAACATTTTTCTTCACCGCTGTCGCATCGGTGAAGTGTAGCAGTATAGCTGTTTGGCTCTCTTCCTGAGAGTGAAAAAACGCAGAAAGAAAATGAGATAAATTATTCAAATTATTCTTCCCTATCTTCATGGCGTATGTAAATCGCGTGATCTCTGAAATATTTGATGCAATAAAATGACGGAAGGAGGAAAAATCAGAAGATCACATTCGACGATTAAGACGCGTTTCTTTTTTTTTCTTCTTCTTTTTCATTTCGTATATAAATCGGATCATATCTTCTTTTTTATCGGTGACAACGTCCGTCGTTCGAAAACGCGAAGCACCATGAGCGTGGACCATCCTCATTGACGCGACGACACTGATATCATGATAATTCGCGATATTCACGGTCGAGTAATTTTCGGTTCAGCCATTCGAGATGAATTTAATCTGAAAAAAACAAGGCTTCCTGTAATATATTATCCAGGCAGATGTGATGGAAGACAATAAGGCCCGCGATAATAAGAGCAGGTGTCTGATTTAATCATCGATTTAACCATCGATGAGGTATTTAATGCGACGAGGCATCGTAGCTGACCCGCAGTTAACAAGTTATCTTCCAAACGTTATGAAGGCAGGATTTTCTATAAGCCTT